CGATCTCCAGCTATCTGCGTGGTCAGTACCACCACTTCTCTTAGACCTGCCTGTCAAGGGGAGGGAGAAGGACAGCCACCTGACACACTATGGTAACTTTTTGGAGTGTTTATTTTTCAAGGCATGACATGATTTACTGTATTTGCTCATCTGTGTTCTTTCCTCGCTTTTTAATTGTCTGTTTGGATATGTTTTGATGATGTACTCTCAGAAACAGAGGAGCGAGTGTCAGTAGGGTCAGAACGATCATGTTCAGAGCTGCTTCAAGGTCAGCTGTGGTTCAATCCGCTCAGGAAAGCCCTCTATCTCTGTGATGGTACAGTGTGGATCACTGTACTAGAGGGTAAGAAACCAGCATCATCCACTGTTGAAAATGTTTCTCCATATCTTAGGTTGAAAACTGACAAAATTCTCTCAATCTACTCAGATCATAAGCGTCTGGACTATGTGTTGGAACATCAGGTCCTCACCACAAGCTCAGAGACGCATGATGTGGAGGTATTCATCCACTTGTTCAATTAGTTGTATATATTTTTTTGTGACCAGGTTCCGAATAAGCGGAGGAAAATGGATGGATGGATGGATTTTTTTGTGTTCATACTATTGCAAAGATGCTTATTTAAAGATAAGGAATAGAGAATAAAATCTATATTTAAGGGAGTCTTGTGTTTTTCTGTACCAGGAGTTCCAAACCTAGGGTTCCAAATGTTGTGCAACCTTAATTTTCACCATCCTGTGATTAGTTTCTACTATCCACTAAGGTTAAATTACTTTTTTCAGTTTTTCTGTCATCCAATGTTCAGGTGTTCCAGGTACCTGGCATTGGTCTGATGGCTGCTATGGCTCACCGCTCCACAGCTTCTGGTTCGGCACTGTACCTGTGGACCCGTAAAGGTTTCCAGCTCTACCAGAATATCACCACCCAGAAAGCATTGGCCTGGAGACACTTCAGCGTGGGCAAGAGGGTATGACAAAAGGATGTTAAAAAAGGTTTTATTCTGATTACAAACTTTAAACACATTGATCCTCTGTTATGTTGTTTTGATTTAGACATTTCTAGTGGTGTCAAATTCTGAGGGAAGGCCAAAAGAGACAGACGTTTCTGTGATTTACAAGTGGAGTAAGAGAAGAAAACAGTTTGTGCATTTCCAGACTCTGCAGACCCACTGTGCACAGGACTGGGAGGCCTTTAAAATCAATAAACAAACCTATCTTGCTGTTGCCAATCATAGACAAGGTAAAAATAAAATATCCAGCACCGATTAACTCCCAGAATTCCTGGACCTACATTTTTTTTTTTCTGGTTTGTCTTTCAGGTAATAATAATCACACTATAGACAGTGTGATATACAAATGGAACATGTTAACAAAGTCTTTTGAGGTTTACCAAATGCTGCCAACCACAGGGGCCTATGACTGGGAGTTCTTCACAGTCGGACCGTACCATTTCCTGGTGGTCGCAAATGCGTTTGATGGAGTGACCACATCTGTAGACTCTGCCATCTATGTTTGGGTCAATGGAAGCTTCCAGGTGTTCCAAACAATTAAGGTATGTGGTGAACATAAAACAACTAAAGAAATGTCTAATTGGCCTTGAAAACCTAAAACGACTGTAGAGAATTTAGAATTTTATTTCATTGAATTATAAAAAAAAGAGTTGTTTGGTTCCCCAGCACAATGCAGAGTTATTCCTGAGCAGGTTTTAGTGTGGGTGGAAATTAGTTTAATAGTACTTAAATGGTTTTCTTACCATTGGACTTCTCACAGCTGGACTTTGATTTCCTTTGATGAGATCTGTATCTTAAAGATGTGTGAAAACCCATCTTGTCTCTACACACAGAAGGAAGGGAATACAAATGGGGAGAGATAAAAGGAGAATGATAGAGAGGTCGGGAGCAAGGAACAGGTGTGTTCATTCTTTTAAGACAGAGCCAAAATAGAGCATGTAGTTTGCCATGATTTGCTTGAGTGATAGCAGTGCTTTGATATGTAACTGATAATAAATAATATATTTGAGTCAAGCCACATCTGAGGAGAAGGCCTTGACCCATTGATAGTCACTTGACAAATCATAGGGAGATGTGTGATTTAGGGAAACTCCACAGCTAGATTTGAGGGGCAGGTGATAATTAGTCACCTGAAATCATACAGAAATGAGAGAGAAAGCATAATTTTGTCATCTTTCATGGTGTGGTTCTATAGATGTGAGGTCAGTCCATCCCCAGAGGAAAATTTCTTCTGACTTTGGTGGTCCTCAGACTCTTCCTCTATAAGGTTAATGTTTGTGGTTGTGAATAAAACATCTTGAAGATGTTGGATGAAGCAACATGAAATTTATTGTAGCTTATAAATGGTGACTTTAATGACTTTTCCTCTAGTGACACCAGGTCAGAGTTTACCACTGTAATGTCTTTTTGTGTGATTGACAGAATGACATATAATTGTGTACAGATATTCATGGTTCCCAGATGATGTGTAAAAACTACTTTGCTGATCCTCTGACCTTTTCTCTAGTGCAGTTATAGGGTTGACATTTGTGATTTTGTGATCTATTTTTGGATGGATTCCGATCAAACCATGTACCATCATTTGTGTCTCCCTCAGGATGAATTGCCGTAATGTTTATCATCAAAAGGTCCCAATTTAAATTTGGTCAATACTTGGACAAATACCTGCAAGCCAGTGACATTCCCATCAGCTTCATTTTGAAGTGCTAATAAGCAAATTTTTGGATGCAATTAGCATTAAACCGAAATGGTGAAAAATTAGCATGCTGTCACTATGAGCATGTTAGCATGTAGCTCTAAGCACTGCTGTATCCAGCCTCACTGAACAGTAAGCATGGCTGTAGACATTTATGCTTTTATTTGTTTACCACTCCATTCTCTCCTTTCAAGTTCTAACACATGCCTCCACCACACCAGCAGTATAGTTTCTCTCTCATCCTAGACGTTCTGCGCCACAGACTGGGAAATGTTTAAGATTGGCAGCAGAGTCTTCTTGGTTGTTGCCAATGGACACAGATACCAAGGTAACGGACCTGGTCGATATGCCATCAACTCTACAATCTATGAACTGGACATGAATGGACAGATGTTTGTCCGCTTCCAGGATATCATCACCTACAGGTACAGATGTGCAGTCAGCAGAAAAAATATGCCAGATGCATGGACATGCAGACATATTATACACTTCTTGTGTAAATAACCTGTTTGCTACTGTTTCACCCATCATCACCACATCCCTTTCTGTCTCTTCAGTGCAGTGGACTGGGAGTTTTTTAGCCTTGGGGAGGAACATTTCCTGGTTGTTGCTAATTCTTTTAACGGAGAATCTTACTCAACAGCATTCTCTACAGGTATTCAACTTGTCAGCACAGTGAAATAATTAGGACTAGTGTTGAAATCATGTCATGGACATAACATCCAAACTGTAATAATGTAGATTTATTTTCTTCCTGTGAGTCACACTAAACATTTTTGACATGCGAGGATTCACTAGGCCTATAGTTAATTTTAGATCTAGAGCCATTGTTAAGAAGATGCAGCTTTGGTTTGATTTCTCTTCTCTGATTGTTTTTAGGTGGCAGGGATATGAAGGCTTTGTTCCTGTTCATTGGATTCCAACCATTGGGTGTAGTGACTGGGAATTTGTTTAGCTCTAAAGGAGAATCATATCTCATCTACTCTAGC